ACCACTAAAAATGGCAATCGATTCATCATTAAATTTAGCACATAAAATATTGGTTCTATCACTAGGTGTATTCCCAGTAGAATTAATTTCAATCCATTGTTGTTTACTGATATTAAATTTTTTAACATCAATGAATGATCGAGATGGATCTAAGGGATAACCACCAAAAATAAAAATGATATCTTTATTTTTTCCACCAATACAGGCTGTGGCTTCAGCTTTACTGGGACCATTGGTATAACTAAATTTATTTCAAATAATACAATCTCAAATGATGTAAATAGTAATACTAGTTTAATTATTAGTGTAATCTTTATCAGCGTCATTTCTTTAGTAATAATTGTTATTGGAATTATTATAACTCAAAAATTTATTGATAAGGGAAATGACGTTTAACACTCAATTTCTATTTAATAATAATTCTTCAGTTTAGGTTCCGGGATCTGGTTATTCTTGGGTGCCACACTACTTCAGTTTAACCACAGTTGGTCTTAGTCCTTCAAGACTCAATGTGTAATAGTCACGTGATTAAAGGTTTTAGCGGGATACACTATGCCACTTAGCAATAAACACGGGTTTTGGGTAGTTTAATTATTAGTGAATATATTATTTAGGAATTTATGGTTTTATGTAATGGGTCAGATTTATTATTTTAATAAAGTGAATGGGAACTGTTTAGTTAATGATGTGAAAGTAACTGTCGTTCCCCTCTCGACCTTTATTTATAAGAAAAGTTTACCATATACATTTCACGTTCTATATTATCTATATCTATGGCTGCATTTACTATAATGATTATGATTATATCAGTGTTCCAAAGAACTTTTCCTACGTTTCGGTTCTATAAGTATACACTGCGCATATTAAAATCACTAATGAAACCATCTTCTACGCTTTAACAAAAAAAATTCATTGCTAAATTTTGCATATGCTAATATCTAGATAAAATCCAAAACCTCGCCCTAACCCTAATCTTAATCGTAGAGTTTTATTTTTATAAAAAAATTATTTTGATAGTTATATTTAGTGATATGCCATTTATATAGTATACCTGGTATAAAATAAAATTTTTTGAAATTTTTGTCTTAGGCTGAATCTTGCTCGTGTTATATGTTCATTTATAGTCTATTCTGGAACTTTTCATAATTAGTAATTAGAAGAATTCGATTGTTGCTAATCGGGATAATTCGTATTCATATGGGCGGATTTATTTCCATTCGATATGTCACATAAATCCGATTTTGTCATATACGATGATCAAAACATGACATTAACCAATCATACGATTCCTTTCGATTATATCACTAGAATTTAAATGATAATCGTTATCTAGCTTGCGAAGTTATTACTTTTTAAATGCTAGACGCAGAATCTCAGAGCAGAGCAACTGCTGAAGAATTAGCCAATACGTTGAGAACTCCAATGGCGAGTAAATGTCAACTTTGCCAGGAGATTCTTTCTTCTCGAAAAAAGGTTGTAATTCATGAAAGAATAAAGCACCGAAATAACAAGATCATACCTCATCGCAAGTTACTTATTCAACCATCCCTTGAGCAAATCACGTTTTATCAAGATGCGTTTATAGTTCTTGTTAAAAAACGTCTTGGCTTTAATAGACATTCGATAGGCACAAAACAAGTTTCTATTCATGCTTTTCCAGAAAATATTTTTGTTTTTCTTTTTGAAAGTGAACCTTCTTTCCGTTATAGTCCTGTGCAACGAAAGTATTCTTGTTTTTTTCAGGGTGAGGCTGGTGAACAAAGATTAAAACAGCTAATTAATTATGACAATTGGAACGTTCGACAAGATCCAAAATTACAGACTATCGGCTATGTTCTATTTGTGGATAATGAGAGTTCATATGAAGTTAACTTTAGCTGGTCGCAATCAGAAGTTAAGGAGAATAATCGTATTTTTCAATGCGGTACCGTCACTTGTAAATTCGTAGCAGATTCGGGAGAATTTTCCCAACAGTAAGAATTCGAATATAGGATTTTTGTTAACAAAATGATCCTTCAGTATCTAAAAGATTTTTTGTTAGCAAAAAATTCTACTGTATTGCTTTTTTTTTTTTTTTTTTTTTTTTTTTTTTTTATACATTTAACCTATTTTATTAGGCCCGCCGTATCCCAAACGAATCACATTACCCCAGAAGCAATGAATCTACCACAGGTGCATGAGGTTGTTCCAAATAAGGATCCTTCAAGTAATGGATCGACTCAAAAAAATTATAGATTCATATTACCTCGGGTACCTTTTCAAGAACTCAACAGATAATTAAAATCTGTTTTATCATTAGAAATATAGTACACAAGCGATACATTCAAATAATAAATTTATCACTGGATTTTTGATCGTTGAATATTTCAATTAAAAAAAAAAAAAAAAAAAAACAAAAAAAAAAAAAAATCTTGTTTATAACATTTAGATTCTCTAATCTCTTAATAGTTCTTCATACTGATACAGTGGATTCATGGGATCATAAAAGGTAATCAAGCAATTTCTTGTAAAATTTAGAATGTTAATTGATAGAATTCAAATGGCCAATTTGCCATTCAACACTATCATATGACTTTACGGACATGCATGTCCGTTAAGTCATATGATAGTATTGAATGGCAAGTTAGCTACTTGAATTCTACTGATCAATATGCTGAACTTTTCAATTTTGATCAGTATATATAGTTTTTGAAGATATCAGATAATCATATTAATGAAGGTATTATTTAACATAAATTAGATAAATAGCGATAAACTTTATAATATGCTAACGATAAAAGTTTGAGTCCTGGAAGCTAATTTTACAAAATTATGATGGTCAGATGGATAAACTATATATCGCTAAGAAACAGCGCTCAAATTTCTATTTTTACATGATAATAATATTCATAGAGATCTTGTAAGTGTGGTATGTATTTTATAGAACTTATAATTATATGTTAATCCTCTAACAATTTAAAAATTAACATTGAAAAAAGCAGATAAATGAGACATCTATGATTCCAAATTTAACCAGAATGTTGGCTTATATAGAACTTTCTTACTATCCTTAAATTGACGTGATATGAAATCCTACGGCTATAGCTTTGGATAATTCTAAATAAAATTTAAGTAAAAGATTAATATAGAATATAATTTACAGTTTGCGGCTTTACAGTACTCAAAATTTATGTAATTATTAGTATGTGCCACGATGACAACTATAGTATTAAGTATGTAATAATTTATTAAAGTTTTAAATCTTCAAAACTCTGGATATTATTTATTTGTGATCAGTTCCTGGTTTTAGCGCATTATGTTGCGCAACTATTTTATTTTTCTTCTTATAATAAATTATCATCCTACTTACACTTAAAATTATTCATAAAATTTAACCAAGCGTATGACAACTTTTGTAATAATAAAAGTTTATACGTGAAATTATCATTAATATAAAAATTTTGACTAACCGATTTAACTAGCTAAGCTGAAAATTAGCTTTTGCCGATTTTCATTATTTGAATATTCGCAATGATCGATATGAAGAATTTCCAAATTTTCACAATTCATTAGCATCTCGAATTCAGCACTATAAACACAACCATCTAGTATAAGTTCCCGTAATGATTTTTTTTTTATCCTCTAAAGCTGAAATGATACCATAGAATGTTTCAGGATATTCAGCACCACCTACTAGTGCTACTTAATACAATAAGTTTTCTTTATTATTTGCATTGATATTTTGTATAGTAATCTCTTTAGAAGTATTATTAATCAAATAAAAAAGTTGCCGATTTTCAAAGGACATAATATCGTAGACAACAGATTGTTCTTTATTTCCACCTCCCATTGTAGTACTTCCAAAAAATATTCGAACCTAATAATAAATTTATTAGAAAGTATGTGTAAATATAATTTTAATTACAAGCTTATATTACCTGATTATGATTTTTTTTTTCTATACTCGAAGTAGAAAAAATTTGTAAAGAAAGACCTTTAGCTTTTAACTGCTGCATAAATAAAGGTATATGTTTTGCGAATACATGCATGTATGGTGTTACATCTGCTTTTCGATAAAGTCCAAAATTTTGTGACGAATTTATATAACCTTCAGATGGACAACAAAAAGCTCGAACCCAATTTTCTGCATCAATTTTATATTGATGAATTTCTTGATCGGTAAGTTGTGATTGTCGTAAAATATTATATAATCGGTAAAATTCACGCCATAATTGTTCGATATTTTGCCCACGTGCACCGGGAATAAATTGAGTTACCGGAAATTCTTCCAACATTTTTTTTTTATCAGAGCCCATTAACGAAGTCCAAGTCCATTTATTACCTGTCGATTTAAAAAATTCGAATTGAATTGAAAGGTTCTTAAATGCTGCTTCAACGATCAGTTTAACTTGTTTTTCAAATTCTTTTTTTTTAAACAGATCGTTGAACAAACATTCCATCAAAACATCTGATATGCGCAAAAGCAAATGCAACTCATCGGGAATATAGTGATCAATTGCTGGAAATAAAACTGGCTTTTTTGTGCCTAATTAAATTTAAATTTATTTTAATTTTATTTGATAATATATTACATAATAATTATACAATATATAAATTACATTTAGAATTTCCCGTGTTAGCCCAAACTTGATCCATATCCCACCGTGATACTGTATTACAATTACAGTATAGACAAAAATAGTTTGAATTTGGAGCATTCAGCCCCATGATTATATACATAAATTTCCAATCCCCCGAAAAAAATAATTCTACGGGCCAATGAACACCATCATGGTCAAAAAAACCATTATTTTTAAGATCTGATAGTTCTCGTTCAAATATACGACCGATCTTTGCTAATGAATTGTATTTTTCTTGTCCGATATATAAACATATACTTAAATATATAGTAAATAATAAGAGTTTTCATAATTAAATTAAGAAATAATTAAATTAATAAATAATTAAATAATTAAATAATTAAATTAAAAATAATAAATGATTAAATTAATGTGTAAGAGTGAAAACCTGAAAGCGAATATTTAAGCTTTCACTATGACGAGTTTAATCTTTAATAATCATAATTCTTCTGATCCAAGATTATTATTTTCAAGATTCAGAGAAGTCAGTACAGTGGTTTTACCAAATATACTAGTAATGCTATTTCTCCGAGTAAGTTGTACTAAAGTATTGAGAATTACTTTTGTTTCTGGGTAAATAGTAGGATCATTGTCCCAACAGTTTTTGTAAAGTTCGATATATTGAGATGGCGTGCCTTCTATAAGTTTTTCTATTTTTGATTCAAAAGTTCATATGGTGGCTTTTTACTCAAAATTTTCCAGAGGATTACAAGGTACTAAGTCGCTATAGTAAAGCTTAAATATTCACTTCCAAGTTTCACTCAGCGTTCAAATTAATAAATAATTAAATTAATAACAAAATAAATAATTAAATGGGATCTTTGCTAGGAAAATCACCCTTTGGGATTTTCCAAACGGGCCAATTCGAAAAGACTTAGACCAGAACACCAGTTATTATTTATATGCAAATCATCTTTTACCTTGTCGATATAATAGTTTATTAAATAAACTATTGCATCGATAAATGTAAAAGACGACTTACATATAAATAAGAACTGGTATTCTGGTCTAAGTCCTTCCGAATTAGCCCATTCGGAAAATCCCGAAGGGTGATTTTCCTAGCAAAGATCCCAAATTAATAATTAAATTAATAAATAAATAGTTAAATTAATATAAAATTTACCAATATTGGTGATCCGGTTTCAAAACCTTTTTACCCTCATTCAAAAGACAAATAGTCATCATTACATGATTTTGTTTGCGACCCACATTATGACCATCACCCCCAAGTTTTAGCCTAATCGTATCTCCTAGAAGAAGAATAGGCGGAGAAGACTGCTTCCAAATAGGAACAAGAACACTTAAAATAGATTTGATGGTTCTATAAGCTCCATTTTTGATTTTTGCTGGTTCATGACTAGGTGGATTATTTATGGTTTCATCAGTGCTAAAAGTTTCAATGCCAATTTTTTTATTCATTATATTTGTTATCTCAATTCTTCGTTCTGCAACTTGATGTTCTCGAATAAGTTGAGGTTCAACAGCAGCCAATCGACGATAACCATCACGAGACAGTAAAGACTCGTCACATGCTCTAACAGTGGCATCCAATTTAAGAAGCTCCGTTTCTTCATTAAATGGTTGGTAATTTAACTTAACACCTTTATTATTAATGTCTAACTGAATATTACGTAAATGGACAACCGGCTGTTTATTTTTCACAACAAATTGATGTCGTGTGATTAGTGTTGAGAATTCCTTTTCAAAATCTCTTCCAAGAGCAACAAATCGCTTATATTGCCCTGATGTTGTTTGTATATTTGAAAATGGCCGTTTCCTAGTATTTTTTTCATTAAGTGTTGTGAGTTGCTCATCAAGATTTCCACAACTATCAGACTTTAAGTACCATTCAATTGCCTTGTTTTCATCTTTAGGAATGCCTATTCCATTCTCATAGCAATTTCCGACACTTAATTGTCCATTAGAATTTCCACCCTCAGCAGATTTCAAGTACCATTCGAATGCCTTTTTTTCATCTTTTCGAATGCCTATTCCATTTTGATAACAACTTCCAACACTTAATTGTCCATTGGAATTTCTACACTTAGCAGATTTCAAATACCATTCGAATGCTTTTTTTTCATCTTTAGAAATACCTACTCCATTTTTGTAGCAATTCCCAACATTTAATATTCCGTTGGAATTTCCACAACCGGCGGATTTTAAGTACCATTCAAATGCCTTTGTCTCATTTTTAGGAACACCTATTCCATGTTGGTAGCAATTTCCAACAATTAATTGTCCATTGGAATTTCTGTCTTTAGCAGATTTCAAATACCATTCAAATGCCCTTTCTTCATCTATGTCACTTTGGTAACAACTTTCGGTATCGAATTGTTTATTAGAACTTAAGTTTTCAGTTTGTTTTTGAATATTGTAAACTGAATTTGATCGTTTTTGCTTTTTATTCGGGCTTGAGTGTCTATCGAATGCTATCAGTTCAACATAATGTTTATGACATAGTTGGTCGTTTAAACTAAGTTCCACCTTTAAATTCAGAGCCGCAGGACTTTGCATGACTTTAGGCAGAAGTTCTGGCGTCAGTACGCGAAACCTTTCTTTAAGGTCTTCAGTGCCACATACTGCACATGGCCCTTTATTTTTACGTGGTCTACCCTTCGGCATTGTCACTAGTAAAAGTCGCGCCTATTTTTGGATCCAGAAATGAGATTTTTGGATCCAGAAATTTAAGGTCTTGGTGAATGTAAATATAAAATTTCCAAGTGTAATATAGTTTGTAAGGAAAGTTATGTTATTTTTACGAATACCAAATTTTACTAGTATGTTTAGATAAATCAACCAATCAGCGTGAGATTCGTGATAATCACATCGGAAATAAATCCGCCCATATGAATAAATCCGCCCATATGTAATAAAAATTAATTTACTTGATTGGTTATCGCTTCCCAGTATTGGCCTATATAAAATAATCGGCAAAAAATCTCACGTATAGTACGTACAGTACTCACGTACAGTATATATAGTACTGTACGCGGCACATCACTAATCATTATACAATGATGTGTTTTCTTTAGGTTATACGATTTGGAACTTTCATATCTCGGCATTCAGTGATTGGATTTGGATGATCTTTAGCTCGTTGGGTTTGTATCAGTAAGAGGATTCTGATGGTATGTGTTTCATCAAAATTGGACCAGTAGATGAAAAGTTATTCTTAATAGAAATTATTTTACTTATAACAATATTTAAATTGTTCAAATAATATCTCCAATAAATAATGTCCAATAAACTATATAATTATACTAAAATACTAAATAATAATAATTTTTAAAATAATGTTCAAAATAATATTCAAAATAATGTTCATATTACAATAGTTTGTAAGTTTAGAAACCCAATTGATTGTAATAAGAATCTAATTACTTATTAACTTATTTAACAAGTTTATCTTGAAAGTTCTTTGTCTTTACAAAATAAAGCTTATCAAATATTTTATTCAAATCTTTAAAAAATTTGGATATGAAAGGATGTAGCAAGAATTTGATATTAGCAAGATTATATAAGATTCTGTTTAATCTTGTATTATTAACTCCAAGTTGTAAGAGTTTTCTAACTTCAAGTAGTCTTTTTTAAATCAGATTATTAGACAAATATTTTCTTTTTCTTTTTCTTCTTTTAGTTGTTGA